CCCAGTGAATTCTAACAAATATTCTTATGCCAAAGCAGAGAGGAACACAGATTGGGCTGTATGTGAACTAGCGCCAGACTACACCACACGAGCTAACATCGTAAGCATTTTCAAATACTTCTTTAGTCTCTTTCTCCTATGCCTCTTTATATGGATGTAGGCACACTATGTAGAGTGATTTTATACCTGCTTTTTCTAAAAGATGCATAGTATTTTATCCTTGATACGTCATAGTTGACTTCTAATATTGGACTTTCCAGCCGCTTCCCATTTTGTGCCAAAAGTAATGCTGTGCTGAACATTCCTATGTATAAATTATCGACTGGATTTCTGATTGCTATCTTAGGATAGATTTATAAAAGTGGGCCAAAGAGATATGACTGTTTTTAGGGTTTTTAATGTGTATTGCCAATCTGCCTCCCTGAAAGTGTGTACAGATGTTCACATCCACCATCACTGTGTGAGAATGCCAGTTTTACCGTAGACTTTTGGTATCATCAAGTGTTTTTACCTATAGTGTTGACAGGGAAACTCAGGTTACTTTATTTGGCGTATCTTTTAAAAAGTTACAGAATTTTTTTTTCATGTTAGTTAACTACTTCGCATTATTTGTGAATTATCTCTTCATATTTGTCCATTTTTAATGAGGTTTAATGTTTTTTCAGTTTGCATAAACATTTTAAACGTTAAGTACATTAGTCATTTCATAGTTGTGATAGGTATTTTCCATATGCTCATTGATTTTTAATTATATTTATGTTGGTTTTGGTGAATAGAAATCTAGATTTTAGAATAGTTAAACCTGTGCAATTCTTTCTTTGTAGTTTCCATTTGCTCTTAAGTTCCAAATTTTATTTTTCCCTCATAAATCAAATATATCCTTTTTTCCAGATCTTTGATTCTTTTTATGGTTTTACCCTTCACTCTTGGATCCATGTGAAATTTATTTCAGTATGTGGAGTGAGATGAGGACCTAAAATAGTTTTAGTTCTCTTTTCTAGTTAGCTAATCAATTGCTTCAACATTAGTTAATGAAGAACGCTTTCAGGATGCAAAACAAATGTCTCTTCTGAAGACAGGCTTTCCCCGACCCTATAATCTAGTCATCACTTCCTCCTGCCAGTTTCTCTCCCTCACTCACCCTGTTTATTTCCTTCCCAAAGCTTTTCAAAAAGTATAATTATCTTTTAAAAAATAGTTTGGTGTTTGCCTTCCGAACTAGAGTACAAGCTCAATGAGAGCAGGCACCTGGTTTGTCCTGGCACTGATTCCCCGGGGCCTCTGATTCAGGCAGTCATCCAAAATGTTTCACTAATAGAGTTACAAGATGAAATGCTGACCCCATCAGTCGAAGTGGGTGGCAAATTGCCTTTGTAATTGCAGAAGAGAGGGCTGAAGCAGGAAAACTAACCACTGACAGCCAAAGGCAAGGCAATCACTAGTTTCTGGTACTACTGATTCTCAAACGCTGAATCTTGTGAATCTTAGCTGCCCATAAACTGGACCATGGACTCCTGCCAACAGAAACCAAATGAGATTAGCTGGGCGTGGTGGCGGGAAGCTGAGGCAGGTGAATTGCTTGAACCCGGAAGGCAGAGATTGCAGTGAACCAAGATGGTGCCACTGCACTCCACCCTGGACGACAGAGCGAGACTCTGTCTCAAACAAACAAATTAGGATGGGTCATTTGCAGACATTTTCTCATTTTTAAGGATCTTCTTCTCCCTCTAAACTTTTTGTAACCTTTGTACCCACTTGGATTATCTGCTAGTGAGAGCTAATAATCAACAAAACAATTGCACAAATAGCAAGTTAACTAATACTAATAGAATCATTTAAACAGCTATCTCAGTGGCTTGTTAACCGGGTGCCTGGACTCATGCTTCTGACTTTATGTTACAGTCTCATGGTATAGTCCTATTTCATCTGATAAAGCTGTTTTATTTACATGGAATAATTAAGTAAATCAAAACATCACAGCATTCATAAAAAACTTGGTGGTTGGGATGGCTGTCCACAGAAAATACTGTGAAATCCAGGAGCTGCCACCACCTATATACACTGTTGAAAAACACTGCAGTAGCCCTGTTTTGAAAAAAATTAGAACCTGGACTTCATGTTTCTGTCAAAGGAAAAATGACGCATTTCCCTTTCTTCTTCCCTTTTTATTTTTGTGACAGCCACACCCAAACCATGAACACAATGATCTTCAATGTGTTCCACCAGAAATATTTTAGCCAGGACTGGTGGCCTCCGACAAGTAAACCTGCACCCTTATTCTATGCCCTGGCAAGTTCTGTTGCCCTGGCTTTATTCTGCTAACATTTCCTTCCCAGTTCTCCTCTCTCCATTCAGGCGACACACCCAACCATCTCTACCTGACTCTCCATCAATTCCCGTTTATCCCCCTGAGCTATTGCTTCAGCATCATGACCAGACCAGACACATCGACCCAGTTTGTGTCAGACCCCAGGCCCTCTGTATATGAGTGAACTTCCTTCAGTCTCAAAACAGCCCATGAGGAACGTGACAACTGACGCATCACAGATGAGGATGTGAGGCTCAAGCTGGCTACGTAACTTGCCAGGGTCACATGACTTGTGAGTGGCAGAACAGCGACATGCTCCCAGGTCTTCTGGCTCTAAAACCCACGCTCCTTACCACCACACTGTGCTACCTCTCAACAGGGCAGCTGCATCCTGGAGTCATCACAACCAAACATAAATGAGGCCAGCTTCCTAGAGTTCATCTCTGGGAATGAACCCTGGCACTATTTGTCTTCCTAGAATTTCACTACTGTCAAGCTGGTAGCCTGGGCTTAACTTCTCTGAGCCTCAGTTTTCTCTCTATAGTAGTAATAATTTAAATAATACTTACCAGGTCATGTTCTAAGTGCCATGCACAAATTACTTCATTTAATTTCCATAACATCTACAAAATAAGTTATATAATTAGAGCCATTTTACAGATGAGAAATCTAGGCAGAAGGATTTTAAGTAACTAAGGTCACACAGCTGGTGAATGGAAGAGCAGGGTCTTGAACCCAGAAGCCATAGCTTCAAGGTCCATGCTCAGAACCAGTATTCCACACTATCTTCACTACGTCAAATGGGAACAGTGACAATAATGTCCACACAAGGGTGTTGTGAAGATTAAATGAGTAAATGCATGTAAAGGGCCAGGCCTCCAGTTAGAGGTAGATCCTCACGGTGATTAACAATGCAGCCTGACAGGTTCCACCATTCACTGGCTATGCAAACTTGGGCAAGTTATTGACCCTCACTAGGCCTGTTTTCTTCTCTGGAAAATGAAGATGAAAACATAACTCTACCCCACATGGTTATAAGAAATTAATAAGATAATACCTGTTAAGTGCCTAGCACAAAGCCTGGCATATAGTAAATTCTCAAGAGATTTGAGGTCTATTTTTAATTATGAATAAGTTCTCACTAAAA